TCCATGGTCTCCTGCAAGCATTTATTTTAAACAAATAAAAAATTTCTCAGTATCTGAGAACCTGAAAGTCAAGCTGGTCAAACTGGACTGAGCTTCCTCACTCAAAATTAATAAGCATGGGAGGTAAATAAGGGCTATTATTAAGTGAAAATGGTTCTTTTTCTCCCTTTTAAAACTAACACTAGCTATTAACTGGGACAAGCTGTCCTGCTCTGCGTCAGTGAGTGACTGACTGTTCCTGCCAGAAGTGAGGGGAGTCAAAGACAGACCTGTGGTAATCTGCTTGTCAAGTGGAAATGCCCATCTGTGCTCTGGGGCGACATGTGTCTCACTCAGTGCTGTGCATGAAGAGAGAATTTCACCCAGGGGATGAGCATCTTGGCTTTCACTCCGGCAAAGAGCAGTTCTCCAAGTCAAAGGCTTGATTAAGGTCACAGTCTGAGGTAGCACCTTCACTGCCTATTAGTTGAAACATGCTGTAATTTCCAATGCCATCTGCATACCAGTCAGCTCTTGAAGGTGAAGCTCCTTCCAGCTTGCTCTGATAATGGCTGATGATCCAACAATCAGGAAAACTGCAACTATTCATCTTTTTCCATGCCCTTTGTAATAAAGCACGCTGGTGTAGTATGCTGCGTGAGTAGAACAAAATCCTTGTGTCTGTGTGTCTGCACAGGCTGAAACAGAACAGCAGGAGAATCAATAACAGGCTTCTGTCTGGGGTAAACTGAGGAAAGCAGAGGCAACCCCATCAAATAGCTTATGACAGGATGGCGAAGGTTGGAGGGGACCACAGTGGGTCACCTGGTGCTCCTGCTGAAGCAGAGCAATTCAAGAGCACATGATTGTGTCCACAGACAGTTCTGGAGTATGCCCAGTGAGGGAGACTACACAGCCTCTCTGTGCAGCCTGTTCCAGTATGATATCCCCTGCCCAGGAGAGATGTTCTCCTTTATGGAAAGGTAGCGTATAGGTGACTGCTCCTGTTGCCAGTGGCTGAGGGCTACGGGTAGATAGCAGAAACAAAGAGTATGTCAGTCTGTACTTTGGGTTTCATTCCAGTCCACCCCTTGTGCCTACTGAGCGTTCCTCACCCATCAGGCATGAGCTTGGGACAAGGGGCTGGCTTGGGACTGCTTGAGCACAGGACATGGGAGAACTGGGCACTGGATCCCTCCCCGGTTGTGTGGTCTCTGGGGAAGGCCTGGAATGACAGCTCCTGATGGCTGAGAAAAAGTTCTGTCTGCTGGGCAGCATCCCTCTGCAGGGATGGGCTATTGTTTCCTGCCATGGAATGTTGGATCAGACTAGGGCCAGTCCCAGAGCTGCCCACGCTGTGCCATGCTGCTCTGCAGGTGTGGCATTGCCTGAGTGGGGTGTGGCCCCCGGTCCCGCTGTGCCCTGTGCTGTCACACCTCTGCCCAGCCCACTCACTTGGGGACATGGAAAAGGTCAAACAGAATTGGGAAGAAGCTTTTTCTTTTTTTAGTAATATTAAAGATCAACATGTAACAGGCTCAGAGTACTTGATAGTGAATCACAATTAAGTTTGTGGCATGCAGATTATTGCTAAGTTTTCAGTAGACAAATGGACACAGAAAGAGCCCTGGGCACCATCTGGCACGGGGCAGCACAAAAACTCAGCTGTGAGAACAGGCCTTGTTTCATCTGTGGAGCCCTGGGAAAGGGTAAGGGGACACCAGTAAAGCTTGGCAGTGCTCGTGTGTCCTCCTGAGGCAGGCATGGGATGCTTCCTACACCTGAGGGTGTGCACAGTCACTCTTTCTTATGACAAGGCCTGGCAGACAGGGAAATCCAGTCTTTTTTCCCCCACATTTTTCTTGATTGTGGGTATTTGGTCAGCTCTAGAATATTCCCCATTTTCTTCTGTTCACCTGCAGAGTGAAATGCTTCCAGCTACATTTAGCCCTCTCATTAACCTGAATCTTATCCTTTTTTGACATGGTGGTGGGAATTTCCATTGCTGGGGAGAGAGTTTTAGGTCATTTTATGTAATAAGTATTAGGAGGTATCAGAGCTCTTCACCTTCCCTGCTTTTCTCCTGGTAACTGCAGACTGCTCTCTGTGCACCAAATCTCCATCTGCAGAGAGGTGCAGAGCCCAGCACACAGGACTAATGTTTGGGAATTCGGGTTTCTCTACAGCACAGAAATCTATGTTTCATGCCACAGTTGCAAGTCCTAGAAATAGCACTGATATTTGAACACTTCAAAAACCAAACCACTGAAAGATTAAATGCATCCATGAGGCTGAGTTATTAGTGAAGTGTGATTTGTAAAAATAAAACACCAGTGATTCTACTGACAATGACTACCTAGTTTCTTATTTTAAAAGTTTTTTTTTTAATTGTTCTTAACTAAAAATTAATTAATTAAAAGAAGAACGAATTATGGTTACCTGACAGTCAGTTTCCCTCAGAAATCTCAAGGAATAATTACTTGGTAAACCTTCTCTTTTTATTTTTATTTACTTAAATTTTAATTATGAAAACATATGGTATGTTTGTATGAACCTAATACTTGAGAAAGCAGCTTGGCAGTAGTGGCGACCAGAGTCCTTTTGTGAATTTACAGAGCAGAAATGTCACAGCTGTCACAGGGCACAGCCTTTGGCAAAGCCAGTGTCCCACATCTCTGACCTCACCTAAGGGTGGATTACAGAAGTTTGGATTGGAAGGAATCTTAAAGCCCGTCTCATTCCTAACCCTGCCGTGGGCAGGGACACCTTCCACTATCCCAGGGTGCTCCAAGCCCTGTCCAATCTGGCCTTGGACACTTCCAGGGATCCAGGGGCAGCCACATATCCTGTTTAACCCTGCCCTCTGGCAGTAGGGGGCCATTCCCTGTGTCCTGCCCCTCCATCCCTTGTCCCCAGTCCTTTTCCAGCTCTCCTGGAGCCCCTTTAGGGCCTGGCAGGGGCTCTGAGGTCTCCCTGCAGCCTTCTCTTCTCCAGGTGTACAGCCCCAGCCCTCCCAGCCTGGCTCCAGGACAGAGGTGCTCTAGTCCTCCAATTATTTTTATGGCCTCTTCTGGACTAACTCCAACAGTTTGGAGTTACCTTCTTCTTGTGCTGAGGCCCCCAGAACTGCAGGCAGTGCTCCAAGTAGGTTCTTCAAAGCATACATGGTGTCGAGATCCTAGTTTCCCTCTATCTAGGCTAATTCCAAGTGTTGGTCACAGTGAACGATGGGGTCAATATCCATAGAGTGATTATTAAACTGCCTGGAATAAAGAAAAAACCTGAAGAAGATCACCCAAGGTCATGAGGCTCGTCATGTGTTGTGACCTGCCACGCTGTACATAGGTGGGCTGTGTGCTGTTTGCAGTGGCCACACGTTAGTCAGTCCCTGGTCATATTTTGCATTTGAGGAATGCTGAGAGATGCTGTGTGCAAAGAGTATCCAGTTCCCTTCAAGTCACCTTCCATTTGCTTGCAGTCGTGATAATCGGTTTCTTGGCACAGCCACGATCCAGAGATCGGATGGAGCTGACGCCCGCGCCCCGCATCCACACCACACCTGCGTGGGAGCTGAGCGCTCGGGGGGAGATGTCTGGGAGTGATGCACTCGGGGGACGCTCCGGGAGGGATGCTCTCGGCGGGCTGTTCTGGAGGGGATACACTCGGGGGACGCCTGTCGGCAGGATGCCCTGGGAGGACGCACTCGGGGGATGCTCTCGGGCCCGTGCGTACACCTGCAGAGGAGCGGACGTTGCCAGGCGCGGAGCGGGGCGGTGGCGGGGCGCGGGATGCTCCCATTGTCTGCGGCGGGGCCGGGCGGGGCGGGGGAACCGGGGGCCGAGGACGAGGGGCGGCTGCCTACCCTCCGCAGCCTCATTGGCGGCCGCCGAGCGCTGGTGCCTTAAATGGGCACTGCCCGGGAACGCTGCCCCTGACAAAAAACGGCGGCGGGCGGGGGCTGCCGCAGGGTGCTCGCGGGAAGGGACGCGGAGCCACCGGGCAGGGAGGAGGAGGCGCGGCCGGACTGGCGCTGCGGCGGGGGCGGGCTGCGGCGCAGGGGCGGGCCGAGCCGAGCCTCGGAGCCCCGCACCGGCAACGGCTCCCCCGGCCCCGCCACGCACCCGGGCAGGCGCACGCTCGGCGGAGCCGCCCCTCCACCGCCGCCCGCCTTCCCCGCGCATGGCGCTGAGCACGGCTGCCCCCGGCTCCGCACGTAAGTAACGGCCCTGCCGCGCCTTTGTGCGCGGGCCCGCCGCAGGTGAGGGGCTACACCGGTCGTCTGGCGCTCTCGGCCGCGCCCCTGCCGGGGACAGGGGGAAGCCTGGTCAGAGCGACCGCGGCCCGGCCCGGGGGCCCGGCTCGTCGGAGCCCCGGGGCCGGGGGTGGTGCCCGGGGGCCGGGCCGGGCCGTGGCGGCGCCTCAGGGCTGCGCTCTGCCCCGCGCAGGTGGCGGCGCGGGCGCGGCTCGCGGTGACTCCCCCGGGCTGGGGCGGCGGCGGGCGCTGAGACCTCGGCCCAGATGGAAACTGGGGGCGATGCCCGAGCGGAATCTCGGCGGGGCGGCAGAGGCGGCGGCCGTGGCGGGGTTTTAGTGGCTGCCGAGCCCAGCGCTCCCCCGGCTGCGGAGACTGGTGTGAACATGGATGGGCCCGGCGGCGGGGGGAGCGGGTCAGCTGCGGACACGGGCGCCGCTGCGGCGCCGGCAGCCCCCGGAGCCCCTACCCCCCCATCCCGCGGCTCCAGGGACCCCAAGCTAGTCCATCAGCGGTTCCTGCGGAGGAGTGTGGTGGACTCGGACCAGGAGGAGCCCGCCTTCGACCTGCCCGAGGCAGAACACCAGCGGAGAATCATCCTTCTCCCCAAAACCAGGAGAATAATTGCGGAGCGGGCGAAGGCGGGGCAGGGGTCGGCGGAAGCGGCGGGCCGAGCGGCGGAGAGCTGCGGGGAGCCGCGGGCAACGCCGGCCGCGGGCAGCGCCGCGGGCGCCGAGGAGCAGAAGGACCCAGGCAAGGATGCGGAGCGGAGAGAGGCGCAGGATGCTGCCAAGGACCAGGGCAAGGCTAAGAAAGAAGAGCCTGAGGAGGAGGCTGACATGAAGGCGGTTGCCACCTCGCCGGATGGCAGATTCCTAAAGTTTGATATTGAACTCGGGCGGGGATCCTTCAAAACGGTCTACAAGGGTCTGGACACGGAGACGTGGGTGGAAGTCGCGTGGTGCGAACTGCAGGTAAGCCCAGCTGATTCTTCTTTGCTTTTTTTTCTGCCTTATAAGCCGGGAACTAGAGGCACCGTGCCGGTGTCATCCAGAGCAGCTCAGCCCTGAGCAGCCTTTATGGTCACCATCGCTTAGGATCCAGTGTCTAACTATAGCGCAATATCCCCATTGGCTCTGGATCCGCCACCTTATGTACACTCCTCCCACGCTTAACCCCATCGGCCCGGCACCGCTGCCGCCGCGGTGCCGCCAGAATCTGCCTGGCGCAGCGAAGGTCACGCGTGGCTCCCGCATCGGGGGAAAGGGCGGAGCGGGGATGCTCGGCCCGGCCCTAGCCCCTTCTCGGGGCAGCAGCTCCCGGTTAAAATGACGCCGACAGTCAGTGATTTGAGTGCGTTTGCAGGAGGAAAATTTCTTTCTGTGTTATGGCCTCATAAAGGCTGAGGAGCTGCTCCCCCCGACCTTCCCTCTCTCGTGTCACGAAATTGTCACTGTCCTGGTGAATCAAACCTCCCAATATGCCCCGGTGCTTGTGTCTTTTTAGGCATCATGTGTGCAGTGCTTTGGTTAGGTCAAAGATTTATCTGTCCAAATACCTTTGAAATAGCGGATTTTTACATTCAAGTTCTAGATCTTCAGGATGAATATCATCCAGTAATCTCTAACGAGAACGAAGGTTTAGATGCTGTCTTCTGCTGTTACCCTGTTCTTGGCGGGTTTTGTAGCCTTTGGTAAAAATCACAGTAGTACATGCTTTTTTTTTTTTTTTTTTTTTTGAGCTTGTAGTAAAGCTTATAGTGCCTGTTACCTCACTTTTGTTGGCATCCATTGGAAGGAGACCCATCTAAGAGAAAAACCTAATACAGACTTAATATTGTTTTATTTTCAGCTTGAGTTACTCTGTAACTTAGGTGAAAGGAGGTTTAATTAACTCTTCGTAATAATTTGGGGTCTTTAAACTTCCACTGGGTGGCTGAGCTTTATGGCCTACAAGAGTATTTGAAACTGACATGGAAATAACTTGTTGTTGTAAGTCTGAGCTCCTGGTTGTTTGTTGATATTTTAATGTTGGCCCAATCTGTTTGTAAATTACTCCTGGCTGCCTGGGTTAGTGGAGGATGGATGTGCAGCCACATTTTTATTCTCTGATAATTTCATTACACAACATAATCATAATTCACTGCAGCACTGCTCCCTTAATAAGAATTATGGGGAATGCTTCTCAGTCTTCGTAGTCGTGCATTCCCTAGCTTTTATCAGAAAGGGATGCAGAATGGGAGACACAGCAGCCGAGCAAGGTATGGTGGGCTGTGGTGAGGGGCTGAACCCCACTCTCCTCCAGCCCGGGGGTCCTGGAGGGGTTGTGGAGAAAGGGGGGCCTGGGGGATTGTTAAGGGGATTTAAGGAAAGCTTGAGGGCAGGCCTGGGCTTTGTCTGATTTTGCTGGGAACTGAATCCGGAGCGTATAAGGCTTCTCCTTAAGCAGCCTGAAATCCACGAGAGATGGTGGCTGGGATGCTGTTGGAGGGCAGGTTGGTAGAGGTTGATGCTGCCCCTGTCAGTCCATGCGGCCCAAGCTAGCCCCATCACTGCAGAGCCATCGCACAGGCAAGAATTCAGCATGAGCCAAGTTTTCTCAGAGGGCTTTAGCAGGGGGATTGACAGAGATGGATTTTCCACGTTTTCTGTAATAGAGCAGCTTTAACGACCAAAGCCTGCCAAATACGTTGGAGAATACTGCTTGGAAATGCTAGTCTGGATCATGTACACTTAAGGAAGAGACTGGGTAGGGAAAACTGCAGTGTGAAAGCTTTCTTACCTGGTGAAGGGCATTCTTGTTCTTAGTTACATGGGTTGGAATTCTTGACTGCGTGTGAAGAAATCTGTGTAATGCTCAAATTCCCATTAGTTTTCACTATAGGTGCTTCAGCCCAAACCAGCTCTTACTGGTAGATCTTTTCAGTTTAATACAGGATTTGCTTTAGGTCTCTAAACGTAGAAAGACTATTGATTAACTACTTTAGAGAAATTGGTGTGAATCTCTAGAAGGAGGCAGGGGCTGCTGTGTCTCCTTAAGCTTTGTGTGCAGTTTTGAGTGATGCTGGAGGTAATGTGAGATGGTATGTGACTTTGGAAGCCAGTGCTTCGGTCTGGATTGGGAAAGCCTCATTGAATGACAAAAGCCTTTAACGACTACAGGATTAAAGCCTGTGCTTCTGGGCTGGATTTGCATGGAGGAGGCAATGGGAGAAGGTGTGAATGGCTGTGTTGTCTCCAGCTTTTTGACTTGTAGAATCCTCTCCCAGTTCAGCTGGGGAATTTTAGGGAAAACGTTCAGAGGATGCTGTCAAGTAAATCACTTTACTCATGGCTTCTTTTTTTTTTTTTTTTTTTGTGAGCTGTGGCATTTAGATCTCCCCGGATTTGTATTTCTCTGCACAAATTTGAAGTTTCCCTATAGGTAGCAGGAGACTGAGTGCAAGCCATCATATCACTATGCTGTTGGAGACAAAATGCCTTCCTCTGCAGCCTCATACTGTCAGAACCCAGCCCAGAGCCTCTTTGTAGAAAAATTGCTGCAACCTGTAATTTTTTCCTTCCGGAGATGCACTTGTGCTCGTTCTGTTTGGAGCGGGGAAGTTAAAGCAGACAGCGTTGAGGTTCCATGCAGGCATTAATCCTTTCCTGGCTCAGCGGTTTTTCAGCCCACTTGTGCTGTTGCCTGTGTGTCTTTGTCCGTCTGTACAAAGGCCTTGCAAAGGCCTCGCGAGCCATTCTTGTTCAGTGGCTTTATTTCATTGAAAAGACGGCTTTAGGGTTCAGAACTGAAGTCATAGCTCTGATTAGGGTGGGATTCAGGCGCTAACCAAATGATCTGGGCTTTAGATCTGTCTGAAGAGGTGAAAGCTGTAGTTGAATTCTAGCTAGAAAATAAGGCCATTGTTCCTTCATGGAGCTGAAGTGTCAGAGCAGGATTAGTGTGCCCTTGCAGTTTTGGAAGGGTTTGCATGCCAAGGTTTTTGACAGCTATAATTAATATTAATTGATGGTGTGCAATTGCTGTGTGGTGAGATTTTGGCATGAGTATTGCAGTGTTGCACTTCAAAGTAAAATGTTGGGTCATGAATAAGGAATACAGGCTTTGCCATTTCCCTGCTGGCAAGCCAGATATTCCTTTTGGTTAGATGAATGGTTTCAAAATGCCCGTTATGTTTTCCTTTGGGAATATATAGGGCCTCTGCAAAGAGTCAGACCTGGTACTATGACATGCAGAGGCCTCATTGTACTTTATGGTTCTCGTTTGGACTCTGAATACCACCGTGGTATCTAACTTGATTTTTTTGTTGTTGTTGTTGTTGAGAAATGGGGAAAGGTTGGGCTGTCTTATCATGCTGTTGCAGGGAGGTGTGAGATGCCTGGTGATCACCTGGTGATCATCAGAGTCTTATGCCTCTGTATCAAAATTCCAGGGTTTTTTTCCCTGAAAAGGGTAGTAGCTCCAGGATTACCATTGGTGTGGTAGTTTGGCTTTTGTTAGTGTCCTTGCTGGCTGGCAGTATTCATCTGATGTCAAAGTAGTAGCGGGTTACTATCTGTGCTGGTAATTTATTGGCCAGATAGACTTTCTAGTGTAAATGAACAGAATGATTTAGAAAATCTGGGAGAAGAAAGGAGACAGACTGTGCCTGAAAGTTTGAGTCTCATATTGATGTCTGCTCACAGTAAATGAACTTCAAGACCAATTTTGTCTGTTTCCAGTTAATTCTTGTGAATGTGACTTGTGTTTAAATTGAAACAATTGGTTTAGCTGTGCTTTACGGCATCAGTATGAAATTGTGTGCCTGTATCACTGGTGTTTGTTAGCAGAGCTTTGCCCTGGCATAGGGAAGCAGGGCAGGGATATGGTTGTGAACTATTAATAGACTGCCTCTCAAATTCAGTAAATGAAATAGAGCTGGATCAGGCTTCACGTTCTGCTTGTGAATCACACAAGACTGCTTTCTTTTGCTTTTGAGCACATTTTGCCTCAAGGTTGATTGTGTGCTCTTTTAATTCTGGTGAAACTCTTCATGCTAAATGTATGGGTCCAGTCGCCATAAGAAATTACTTCAAATCAGAGCTGGGTGTATAGGATATTTCTGGTCCCTTTGGTCATCTCATATCCACAGCTGATGAGGGGTGGAAAAAGTTGGTGTTGGAAGCTGTCACCGTGGCATTCCATGCAATTGATATAAAGTCTGACATGAGTGACATTTACGCTGGTGGTATTATTTTGTGGTTAGGGAGTAAGAGATGTTTAAGAGTTCAGAGGCAATGGTAATGATGTGCTGAAAGATGCTGGATAGTAGAGTTAACGCGTTTTGATAGTCTGAACGATTAGAGATTCTTTGGAGATTTGAAAGTGTGTCTCCTGGAAGGTAGAAACCCTACTGTAAGGGTTGAGTGTCAAAATGTTGTTGAGGAGGGAGGTAGGGATAAATCTCTCCTGCCTCAGGAGCCTTCTGCAGTGGTTCATGTTGCTTTAGTGCTGAGAAGTTTGATTTTTAGATTTGCCACGATGTGGCTGTTGATGGCCAGCAGCAGGACACTTGCCTGTGTGTGCATTAAGCTGTGGGCTGGGTCTTCTGGCCAGAAAGCATAAATATGAGCCAAATGCTGATGCGTGATGCCTGGACAGGCTGTAGGCATAAGGCAAGGGCAGCCAAAGGAATGTCCCACAAGATGTGTGACACTTGGCACTCCAGCTGGGAGAGGCGTCTTCATTGTGCTGCAACAGGAGGGGCTTGCAGATAGCTGGAGAATATCCAGAAGGGTCATGTGGAAGCAGAACTGGTTTGCTTCATGTTGAACTTCATATATATGAAGTTATGTTTGGAAATGTATCTTTTCCCTGAAGTGATACTTATGGACAGGATGGGTGCTATCTCAGTGTTGATTTTGGTGTACCTGAAAACCAGGTTGGCCAAGAAGGGCAGCTGAGGATTTTCCTTGTTGTGTTGATAAGTCAAGTG